GGGGAGAGGGAGAAAAAGGGCTACATAATCATGGGAAAGGGGAGAGGACTATAGGCACTTTATGGCAGGGGGATGGGGCACTGTGGTCAACAAAGAGTCCTCACAGGGCACCTTATTCATTGTGGGGAAAGAAATGTGTGTGGGACTCACTCAAATACATGCAGGGAAAGTGGGAGATGCCCTGCCCCATAACCAACGAAACACGCCTTTTCCCACAGCACATTATGTCTGAAATTGAGCAGAAGGACTGGTAGTTGCTATTAATGGGTCACGAGTCATCAAAGAGGGGCAGCATCTAAGATGTGATCACTCCACAGCACAATGAAGACAGCGTGGTGATGGAGGAAGAAGGTGACTGAGAGCTGAGGTGGGAAGTTGTAACTGCACACACAGAACACAGGATGTGAAGTTGGTATTCCTCCCTCTTTGTTTCCAAAGAGCAAGAGATATAGGCATCTCCAAGGAATGGGCAGAAGACACGGAGAAGCTCAACATGGTCCTCAAGGTGTCCAGCATCTATGACAGCCTGTACATTAGATCTTACAGAGAGGGAAGAGAACTCCCCAAGGCCTGGGGAGTTAAAACTAAACCTCAGTGATATTTTACAGAATACATCTTTGAGTTGCTACACAGAAATGGTCTCCTGATGGGATCCAGTTGGCCAAAGTCAAAGGCACAAGTAAGGAAGGTTACTATGGCTTTGGAAGGATGTAATAGAAATGTGATGGCCGTGTATGAATTCTCCTCTCATGTAAAAGAGGTCTATGTGTGGACTCTGATGATGGCCTAAAGAGTAAGTGGAAATTCTGGATTGGGGAGTGGATATATAGATAGGTGACTGAATACAGAGGGAGGGGGTGAATCTGACATGAGTGCCTCAGGGAATGTTGGAAGCGAGGATGTGGCACAAACAAGTGCAAAAACTGTGAAATATCGCACGTTTATACACATACGTATGTATAAGGTATGTATTTGTGAGAGCACTATGATAAAGGAAAGGAGGTTCTCACTACAAATCCCCCAGAAATACAGAGAACAGAAAAATATTAAGCAAAGTTATGCTGACCAAAGTAATATTTTGATCAAATGGACATATTTCCTGAAAGGGCAATTACAAGAATTGACTCAAGATGAAACCAAAAATCTCTGTTGTCTTCATCAAGGAAAAGCAATATGTCCTCACAGAATTTTGTATCAAGAAGTTGAAGGTCTGGAGAGATTGAATCAAGATGGCGGAGTAGTAGAACCACAAAGTTGCCTCTCCTTGCAACCACAATAAAACCCACAACTGACTTCTGGACAGCCATCGAGAAAAAAGACTAGAGTCCAACAAAAAGGATCTGCTTGAACTGGAAACACTGAGACAGAACCACAACAGGAAGGTAGGAAGCACGCGCTCACAATATAGTCAGGGTCCATACCCTCTGGGTGGGCAACCCACAAGCTGGAGAACAATTAAGTCACAGAGGTAATCCCACAGGAGAGTTCTGAGCCTCACATCTGGCTCCCAACCAGGGTTCCAGCAG